CCACAAAACTACAGAGTATTCTTCCAAAACTCTATCCAATTAGAGTGGCGTTTATATCCAAGTGTATTTTTTCTTAGATTCGCCAAACCATGGATCATTTGAAAAACTTTGATTTGGGTGAATACATGAACACATTTTAGTTCATATAGAAATAGGATAAAACGATTTTCGGGCATACGAATTTGTTAATGTCGTTCCCGTTCCGGTTCCCGTGTCTCCATTCCTATTAAAAGAATTGTGTTCCTACTCCCATGTTCCCGGTCCTCAAACCTTCACGAGAGTTCGCCTTTCCGATTCCCGCGGGAAACGAGACGGAAAAATACGGGAAAAAGTCGTTCCCACGAACTCTACTTAGCTGTTCCAATTCTCCTGTTAACGTGTGTATTAATTTCAGTTCGTTTCTCTCTCTTACAACAGCCCAAATAGTTCATTGTACTTCAAGATTTGAGTATGAGTGTAATGAGATGAAGTATTCAGCCTTTTATTGTCAGACAAACTTATATAAAACAAGGTCAAACTAATATACTCCCAAAACATGGTAATACTAGACTGTACATAAGTACGAAGTTACGAAGAATAGCTTTACTATACTCTCGAAATACTCTGAAGTACAAAATTTTCGCTTTTCCCCTTTGTGAAAACTTCGTCATCTAAATGACAATCCACGCCGAAATAAAAAAACCAGCACGTTGGAAATTCCACGAGGCTGTGGCACATACATAGAAATCTCTATGAGTCGGTTAAAAGAATATCAGCATGTGTCACCATGTTTGAATCAGACTGGGGAAGATTGGATTAATTTTCTCGTCATGCAATTCGACATTCATCGATAAAAATAGGGCATGGGTGGGTGGATGTGGTTGTAAGTGGCGGTGCGGTTGTCGGTGTTCTCTTCATGTAACATAGAGCCATATCCAAACAACCACACCCACATCCTTCACAGTTTGTTCGTGTGAATCAATGAATATATTAAACAATGATGAATTCATTATACAGTTTGCCAAATATCTTTTATGTTAGAATGTAGTATAGGTTTTAAGAGTAGTTGAGACGGTCATCCGATCGTGTGCTTAATTCGAGGCCAAATGTTTCAAAATATATAATTTTGATAAGAAACCTTGGAAGTATACTGTAAGTGCACAGAAACTGTTTAGGATTATTCATGAAACTAAATAGCCTGCAGGTTTAAAATACTTTTCTCTTTTTGTTTATGTATGAATAGTCACTGTGGCCCATATAGAGAGACTTGACTACTGAGTAGGTAATTATATGTTTTTAGTAGTATTTATGGAAATGTTACTCTCATTGCTGTATAATATCAAGAAGAAATAATATTATTTAGAGAACGAGTCGAATAGAGATTTTTGTAAAAGGAGTGCCACTAAATCAACAACAGAGAAATCATTCAGGTAAACAGTAATAATGAATGAGATGTAACCTGAAAGCGTATATTAGTTTAATATTCATACTTCTCTAGGGTATTTGATAATTTTTGTTTTTTTTTAATTTTTTTATTGAAGAGTTATAGAAATAGCCTGCGTATAAAAGGATAGTGTATAATATTTAAAGGCTTTTAAAAACGAATAATCGTAAACATTACATTCTTTACAACACGAATTCAAATTAAGGTAAGCATTAATGTTAAGATTTGCATTGGAAGGTGGTAGAGTGGTACTGATTTAAATGACACGAACTATCACTTGTTAAGATTGATAATTTCCATCGGTATAAACTTGGAGTTGATAATGAAGTAAATCGATGCTTTCACACGTTTTAGCATTTTGCCTATTGTATGTATGAAGATGGAGAATTTCAGCGTATAGTTAAACTCATTTGGGTTAGATGTTTAAGACCACCGTTACGAAAGCAAATGGGAAATAAAAACAAAGATTGATTAGTGTGAAATGTTGTGATATGTACCTTAAGAGTACAAGTAAAGCATTCAACACACAGTTGCTCAAGTTTAACTGTCGTTCACCGTAAATTTTTTGTCATCCAAATAGATAGTATTAAAAGTGTTTCGAAAACCATACATAATTTTCAACATCATCTATCAAACTTTGCGTTCTAGAAAAAAAATTATTAATCGAGACTCCATATTCACTTGCTATTCGACATTATAATAAGAAATACACGTCGTTGGAGAGTTTTGGACAACAGAGCATCATATTTCACTTGCATGGATCGGTTAAACATAAAATTATAGTTTAAAATAGCGACTTTAAAGTTCAAAAATAATCACATTTCTAAAAATGAAATAGTGAAGGGGGATAAGGTTATACAGCAGAAATAGATGTCCCGACTCAGCATCAATGCACAGTTGAGAAACTAGCCATCCTTGTCTTACTTGAAAATGAGTTTCATTTGATGGAATTCGTCGTTGAAGAAATCTGCATTGACCATCGAAAAATACTTCTGATAATAAGAATTATGATTTAGAATAAAACATTTACCGAATTCTTTCTGTTTAGGGATTGATATCATACCAATTTGTGAGAAAAGTCTTTCAATCTCGTCCTTCGTAAAGCTACCTCTCATTTCTCTTTCATTGAAAATATTTTTTTTACAATTTGTGATAAGAAACCAAACATTCATCCTGTGACACACCTGGTAGTTTTTTTACAACACCCTGTTTACAAGGAGAAAACGACTGTTTTTTTTTATTTTTATGATTTTGGTGATTTTTTTGATTTTTATGATTTCAAAATCAGCAATCTTCTATTTGAAAGCTGTTAATTTTTCAGAATATTAGTTTATACTTTAAGTTTCCGGAGATGCATTCATACAGGAAAATATCCAAGAAGCCATCACAGTTTTAATCTCTAATTGGATGATGCATTGAAAGCTATCTTAAAAATGTTCTTGACTAATATGACCCGGATAGAAAACGCATAGTCGTCAGCTATCGTATACCTATTAATCACGACCAAAACTGTTAGGCGTCTACGGCGGCCATTGACGAGAATCATAAACAATATTTTACGGAGTATTAATGCCGTAAAAGGTCATCGGTAACGACTACCATAACAATCAGCTTGGCATATACGCTGTTCGGAAAGCACCGCGTATCTGAGCTGTTTACCGTCTACTACGACGATCGTGCATGGTCACTGCACATAAAGCTCTGTAGTTTAAGAAGTTTTCGTAGCCTGTAACCTATCCTATAATAGTTTACTCAATCTGACTCTGCTCTCCCTGCCGTGCTGGAATTTTCTAGAATATCTAAACTCGCATCTCTTTAAAGTTAGGTGGTTACGTTTCCACTAGCGCCCTAAATTGACTAGAAGCAACTAAGATATTGTAAAACTTTTCGATGGAAGTCCTGCTTAGATTGGATCACTTTATAATTTAACTTATGTATTCATATGTTAGCTGATCACATTTTTCGATATAGTTGTGGATGAAGCATTATCATATTGTGTACAACTCTATCATTTGGATGTTCCTTAAATGTACATGTGATGTCTATCGCCCAATTTGCTTGTTCGGGTGTGGGGCGTGGATGTCGGTATGAGTATGCCATTCCATTCTTCTGATACTCAAACCCACACCCATGCCCTCCATAGCTAAGCAACTAAATTTCTCGTCACATTATATTGTTTTGTTTTTCAATTTTATTTTTTATGTCACATTTTTGTGGTTGTTTAGGTATGCTAAGATTATTCAGTCTTTCTATTTTATTTATTACCTTCGTAATGACAAATGCTAAATTATCTATTCCTGATGTTAATGGAGTATGTGAACATAAACTTGGTGGTGAATGGAATAGATTTTGGTTTAGAAATCTGAAATTTGCTTGGAAAGAATGCCAAACGAAGAATGAATTATGGACTGATTATGATTGGAATTCTGCTCCCGGTTTTCATGGTGGTTCTTCAACATGGTGGGTAGATGGTGATGGAAATGACATAAAATGTTGGTTTGTAGGTGGATGGAGTGATGGTAGTATTTGGAAGCTCTATGACAACTCACCTAACTGTTAATAGGAACTCAAAAACAGCTATTTTATTTAAGATTAGCTACATATAAATAAAAATAAATGTAGTTCATATCATTTGAATAGATTATCTGTTATTGAAATATTCATTCAGTGATCTAACTCATTCTTGGAAAATTAATTTACTAATTTGTTTTAAGAATTTTATGTCATAATAATGTAAGCATTCTTTCTTAATCTATACACATCATCTGCTACAATGATAATAGGGTATAACATCAAGATAGATCTAACAACAAGAAAGAGAAAGAAAAGAGAGGGTGTGGGTGTGAGGGTGTGGGTGTGAGGGTGTGGGTGTGAGGGTGTGGGTGTGAGGGTGTGGGTATGGGTGGGTGTGGGTATGGGTGGGTGTGGGTGTGGGTGTGGGTGTTCTTTATCACACCCCACACCCACCCACATCCCACGCCCCACGCCCACCCCCACACACCTACACCCCACACCCACCCACACCCCACCCCACACCCACACCCACCCACACCCCACACCCACACCCACCCACACTCTCATTTGTCTTTTGTTTCATTCTAATTATCAATATAAGATCCTAGAATAAACTTATAATTTCTTGATTTCTTTTTATTCTGCCATTATCTGTAGAAGTTTGACTTTGATAGATATAACTCTCATCACGAATGTGAGTAATCAATTTAATAAATAAGTCAATGAATTATTCGACGAAGAAATAAGATGATAATTAATATATTCATCTATAAAGAGAAGAAAATGAAATGTGTGAACTATAATTAAAAGAAAATGATACTGATGATTATTCATTGATACATGACAGATTTTTTTCATTTGTCGAAGTATACACCTAGTAGACATTTATGTGAGAATTTATCACTATTTTGTGGCTAGTAGGTAGGAAATGCTAAGAAAGTCAATCTAAACTAATTTTTTTATAGAACATCCAACTAAGTCAAAAATTTGGCTATGAAGATGATGGTCTTTCGAATGCACGTAAACAATGAAAAGTTAAAATTTTGACCAGCACCTTAGCTCCTTGATCTTCTCATAGGTCGTCAATTCATGAATAACGAGTTACATTTAGTCGCATTGATCATGATTGATATTGAAATACAAGATGAGCAATGTTTAAAAGAGTTATGTACTAAAGAAACATTGAAGAATCAAAACAGAAAACGTTTTTTTTTGTAAGAGAATTAGATTTATCAAGATGGATTTGTTTAATATTTCTGCAATCAATAGTAAACAAATATTTCAACTATAACATTACTACTTCTGTGTTTCTCTTGTTCGATAATATTGATATCTTTTAACAATTTGATAATTATTGTGTGATGCTATTATTGTTCATGATGATAAAAGAATAAATGGTGCAGCATACTTAATATAAATTTTCAATCAATGTTGATGTCAATGGTATTAACAGACATGTAAGAATTTAAATCAAAAACTATTGAAATATTTATTGTTAAGCGTTTCTATTTTATATCTGATAATTTTTCTCTTATGGTAATGAATAAGTCTCTAGTAAAAATGAATAAAGAATTTTGATTATAATTTGATTTAATTTGATATTGAGCGTAATAAAGTCAAACCTGAGAGAGTGAGTTATGGGTGAAAGTACATTAAGAATCAAGCAAACGTTCACACCCTATTGTAGAAAGAATGAGTTTCTGATTTTGTCCATTTTATTCTAACTAATAAATACGGATAATGTCGGTGTGGCTGAAATGTCACTCACGGTCATGATCTTCTCAGAGTTCAAGTGCTATTTAACCATCTCTACTAGCTGCATGTCTATTATCATCAGCTATTCTGAAATCTCGATTGAATAGATGCCAAGTTCGGTGACTGCGATATATCTCATCTAAACTCTCTTCCTCTCTCTCGATTCAAAAATATTGACTTTTTCACGTCGAAGTCTACGTCTATATCAATTGCGACGATGCTTGACTGTAGATATGGATAACCAGATGGCTCAAACTAATCCAGACCCACTGCAATTCAAACTCGAATGGATAAAGAAAACTTCTTTGATTTTTCTATTTTTCTAAAAAATTTAGAAGAATAATACGAATGAATCCATTGGATTAGATTGTTAGAAAAAAAACAAGTTTTATATTCAGTGAAATTAATTTCAACTTGTATTTGCTTCTTTATAAATCATTCAAATCTATCTAGCTTGATCCTTCTCATTATGCTTTTAGTTTTTCAAGATCTGTCAAATACGATTGAAAATTAGGTTTATTAATTACAATTTTGCAATTTTAGACATTCGAACAATAAAACAAAAACCAGTTGGATAGAAATAATTTGATAAAAGTTGAAATATTATTAGAAATGCTTATTGTCGATCGATGAGAGAGTCTACTGTTGGAATTTGTTCGAGTAAAACTTTGCGTTTTCGTATTTCCTGTACAATTGTGCCACATTTTGTATTGACTTCTAATGGTTCGCCAGGTAATAAACTCCAATGATCGAATTGACATTGTGGAAAAGCTGTACCACTTGTTGAATGACGTAATTCTTCTGTAAAACCAAATGATTCGTTAACTGGTAAAAAGGCCTTAATTCGAGATAATGTTGTTCCACTTAATGAATTTTCTTCACAGATTTGTCCACGACGTTTATTTAATGTTGAATAAACTCTACCGATCATACGTGTTGGACATTCAATATCAACAACGAATATGGGTTCAAGTATACGTGGATCAGCCATACGCATAGCTGCTAATAGACATCGACGAATTGCTGGAATGAGTTGATCAGGTCGACGATGGGCTATGATAAGGAAAATAGGGACAATAGAATCAATTTATTAGAATTACATCAACAATTCAACATACCCGAATCTCGATGAATTTCAGCATCGAGTAAATCAATTCGAACACCACGTAGAGTCTCTTGAGCAAGAACACCTTCTTCACTTGCCCATTGAAATCCGGCAATAACAGCATCTTGTATATTGATTAAACCATCGACACCTTTTGTTGAATCAACTAATATATTCGGTCCATCATGTTCTGGACCGAAACACCAAATTTTTTTTGTTGAAATAGGATCCCAACCGAATTCATTGACTAAAATAGCCGAACGTTCTTTCGGATCTTGTTTGGCTGTAATACGGCCCGATTCAATAGCTTCAACTAATTCGGGTTGAAGTGGTGAAGCACGCATAAAAAATTTATTGTGCTTATTTGTTGTTTTGGTAAATGCAGTTTGATACGATCCACAGGTAACTGTTTCACGATAGGTTACAATTGGTGTAGCTACTTTCAATGGACATCGAGCATGTACTTTTTCGAGTTCGGCTAAACAAATTTCTAAATGAAGTTCACCGGCAGCAGCAATCACATGCTGTTTATTTTCATTGAGCACTAGTACAAGTGAATCAGCTTGTGCAAGTTTTTTGAGACCATCAGCTAGTTTGGCATAATCAGTCGGATCACGAACATCGACAGCAACACGCACAACAGGACTAACAGAAAATTTCATAACACGAAAATTATGTGCATTGTCAAATGTTGTAACAGTAGCCGTTTTCAATAGACATTTATCAATGCCATTCAAAGCAACAACATTACCTGCGGGTACACTAGCCATTGGTATACATCGATCACCGACCATCACACCTACACTAGTCACATTTCTAACTTGTACATCGTTCGGTGATCCTGGTTGATAGTTCGGACCGAGAATTCGTACATTTGAACCAGTTGTAATTGTACCGGAGAAAATTCGACCAAAACAAACAAATCGAGAACCATCTTGAGCTGGAATTTTTTTGCTAATATAAATCATAACTTCACTATTTGGATCACACGTTTTCATGGCACATGCCGCTTGATCATCTTGTGGACCTTCGTACAAATGTTGAATACGATATGTTTGAGCTTGTATAGGTGATGGTAAATGAAGTACAATCAAATGAAGCATCGCTTCACCGGCTGGCAACCAACGTTTCATGACATTCGACATGATCGTTTTAGCATCGTGTGAATTAGTATCGAGCTTGTCAGCTGATAATCGAACATCAACTTTGTCTAATAATGTTCGAATTTCATCAATATTCAAGTTCGAACAAGCATTAAGCATTTGATATATAGGCTGAAGAATGAATTGATTAAAGCCTCGTTTTGCATCGTCATACGAATTTATTTGATCATAAGGGAACCATTTTCTGTTTACAGATGAATAGAATGATTCACCCCATAGACGGTCAATTAATTTCTCTTTCAAGACTTTTGTTTTTTCAGCAATAATTGTAGCAAATTGTGGTAGAGTAAATGCCCAACCATGTTTACCAGAAGCAATGGCTACATTGCCTATTTTTGGATTAAAATGATCATCGGAATAGATACCATCGTCGATATTTCGATAAGTAGCAATGAGAGCATTACAACGAGCAACAATCGATGATAGTTTTTGATAGAGTTCTTCTGGTTCTAATTGTTGTTCGAGAATGCATCGATCGATTTTGTTAATGATCAATGTTAACTGTACACGTTCGGCAAGAGCTTGTCGAAGAACAGTTTCTGTTTGAACAGAAACGCCTGATACAGCATCAACAACTAAAAGTGCACCGTCAGTAACACGCAAAGCAGCCGTTACTTCAGACGAAAAATCAATATGACCAGGTGAATCAATAAGATTGACTAGAAAACCATTGCCATCTCGTTTGAGATTTCCTATATACAAGACAATAAGATAAATAAGTTATTCGCTTTTTCATTAATCAATTTCATTTACTAACCAAGTACTTGATCGTCAAGTGTATAATACATGCTTACTGATGAAGCCTTGATAGTAATACCTTTTTCTCGTTCATCATCGCGTGAATCTGTAAAACATCGCTCACCAGCCTGTTGCTCAGTAATAATACCTGCTTTCCACACGAGTGCATCAGTCAATGTCGATTTACCATGATCAACATGTGCAATAACGCACATATTACGAATATTATTTGGCTTCGACATTGTCTCGTATACAGCTTGAGCACGTTGTCTTGACATGATATAAATTTGCTTTGTTAGTTTTTTGGCGTAAGATCAGACGAATAGTTTGCGAGTAAGAAATACTACCTTCGTATGTTCATAAGTACTGAGGATTTGATAAAAAAATAAAATGCAGCAAGTGCTTTTATATTGCTTGATTCCGCTGTAGAAAGTTATTGCGAAAGAACAGCCAGACTACTTGCGAAATAACATACAGCAGTAATTGCGAAAGAATAATGTGCAGAATAGAAATAACAAGGGATTCAAACAACTCAATGTGTGACACATATTATTATTACTATGATTAGAAAGGCGTTTTATTCCAAATGATAAAGATTTCTCTTCTGAGAAATAGAATATCGAATTAGCTTGAATCATTTTTTTTTTGTTTTTGTACTTATGAAACATATAATCTAAAAAAAATGTATTATTTCACAGACTTATGGAATATTCGTTGGATTAGGTCGAAAAATACATAATACTCTGCTATCTTATCGCATTAGTCACCTTTATCATTTGAACATTCTTAATATCAACTATTGAGAAGGCGAGTTTTGAAGCTAAAAAAATTTATATTCACATCCACACATACCTACACTCTTGTATTCTCTATTTCCTCATTTTACTGTTTAGTCTTATTTTTCGCATAGTTTTTATTTCGAATTATGTTATAAACAAAAGATAAATCTATGAATGTTTTATCAAAGATAATTTGCAGCTTTTATTTTGGAAATTCATTTCAGAGTGTTGAAATAATCTATTGAAAGACAACATATTTTTAAAATATTCTGAATTTCAAATTCCATGGCAATGGTGAATTTTCAACTTCGAGATTTAGACAAGTACAACCCATATCGCCTCTTTTGTACCAACTGCGTCGCAGTTGCGCGTAACTGCAGCCCATTGATCACAGTGAGGGTGTGGGTGTGGGTGTGGTTGGGTGTGGATGTGGGTGTGGATGTGGGTGTGTGGGTGGGTGTGGGTTGGGTGTGGAATGTGGGTGTGGGTGGTGTGGAAGAGTGTGGGTGAGTGTGGGTGTGGATGTGGGTGTGGGTGTGGATGTGGGTGTGGGAGTGAGTGTGGGTGAGTGTGGGTGTGGGTGAGTGTGGATGTGGGCGTGGGGTGTGGGTGGGTGTGGGTGTGGGTGTGGGTATGGGTGTGGGTGGGTGTGGGTGTGGGTGTGGGTGTGGGTGTGGGTGTATGTGGGTGTGGGTGTGGGTGAGTGTGTGTGGGTGTGGATGTGGGAGTAACACAAGAACTACACCCACACCCATAAACGTTGAAAAAACAATCAATTATATCATTGTTTTGTACTTTGCCGTTCTCTCGATGACAAGAAAATGTTATCTTATTTCCAATCTGTTATCATACATAAACTTAGTGCCGAAAATAAAGGTAGAGTAGATAGCAAGACAATCAATTCTGATTGCAAGCATGACTTATTACCTTATACTATCTATCACCAAATAGATAATATAGGTGAATATCACTGATGGAACATTGTACGTTAAAAATATAATTCATATTAAAGATTGATTTATTGATAACAGATATTATAGGTGTGGGGTGCTTTTGATGAATGTCGTACCCACACTTGAAAACCCCATGTAGTTTTCGTTGAAATCTTCAGATGTTAACCTGGAGACCTTAGCTCGTTAGAGAACTGGAAGAATTAGAAGTTTATGAGTATATTATTAGTAACAGTTGCCTATCATTTATTTCAATTTAGATTAGATAATTTGATTAAAAAAAACGAACAACCGACGCATTATGACATGGATATGACATAATCGGCGTTGTGGCAGTGTAAGAAGGAGTTTTCAACTGTTGACCACAAATGGGGTATTGGAATACAACGAGTGAGTGATATATTGGCAAACATCGACGATCCAAACAAAGCATCAGGTTTTGTCATCGTGCAAGGATCTGTCATAAGCCAAAATCCGAGTTGTTTTAATTTATTTATTTTAGCTTGAGCACCCGTCATGCAGATCACATGCACATAGAGAACGTCTTGATCACATGGATTAATAGTTCTCGTCGGAGGACATATGCCACCGAATCGAGTAAATGATGATGGATAGGTTAATACAGCAGCCATTTTCCTCGTATAGTTATTAGTACGAAGTTGGTAATCTGGACTATGTTTCATCAATAGTGTTTGAACACGGCTACACGTCTCTTTCGAATGACAAGTCATATAAGTCTTTTCATTCAGATTTGCTAATGCCTGCTGATCGTTCTGTGTTTTGAACATTCTTTGTGAAGCTATCCATTCTTCAAAAAATGCTATAACTCGATCATTAGGAACGGCATAAAATTGTCCTGTATTGATTGGATGTTCCCTCATGAATATAAGATCTGCTCCCGTTTTTTCAATCATTAATTCAAACGTCTTCCAAATATCTTTGCCAGCATAGCTTATGTCTATATCACTCTTCATTATTGTGAACCCTTTTCGAAGAATGTCCAAATAGAGTGGAATTAAATACCATACAATGACTAAATAATATGGATCATTGAAAAGACCTTCATGTGTGATAGATATGTTTTTTTGAAAATTCAACATATGTGATGATGCATTATAGCATGGAAGATTTAGCTCGATGCAGACAAGTAAACTCAATTCATCACCTACAGCAACAATATAATTGGTTGTTCGAGTGAATCTGACTAGAGTATATATATTATTTTGTGCCATAGCTTGCCAATGCCAGTTAAATCCAAGAATAATAATTTTTTTCGATTTATGTCCCATCGTCTTTAATAGTGCATCTAAATCATTATGCATTCCTAGATAAGGGAATAGTATCTTTGATTTTGGGAAAAGCCACGGTGAACTTAGTACGATATTTAATAATTCTTTCCATCCACTTTGATTATTTTGCATCAAGCTTTGTAAAAATATATTACTTGAATCAATACTCTCAGCAGACCCATATAATAATGTCGGCATATGATTTTCTCTTCCTTGATTATTCATAATTCTGAAGATTGTTCTCTTTGTTGTTGACAATATCACAAGTACTATGACAACGAATAGGATATATATCCAGTACTTCGAGTTTTGAATCATAGTATACACAAAAATCTAAGAATAAATATCAATTTATTTATTATCGCAATATCTTTTATTCTTCTATCGTCTTTCCGAAACCTTTTGAACAGTAGCACTTATTTCTTCAAGCTTTTTACATTAACTTAAACAACTGACATTCCCAAGGTCGCTTAAAACGGAGACATCGATGTGAAGCTAGCACGATGACCAATCAAAATCGACTCTGCCACTGACCAATCACTATTCATCCATGTTTTACCATATACCATCCATCAAATACCACCATGAAACGTCTTAGCAACCCACTATACAATCCTACAAAATCAAAAATATTCACCCCGCCCCTTCACCACTACTCATCCCAAAATAACAAAAAATACAAAAAACACTTCTCACCCCAACGCCGGGTTCCTGCCTCACCCATAAAATATGGTCCTTAACGATATTGAAATAGCTCCCTGTGGATTTATCTTCCATTGCAAAAAGAGGATGAGTACACCAATCAATAGAGAATTTAATTCTCTACAAGATGATCAATCTCATATAAAGAGATTCGATTTTCAAATAGGGTCAAAATCCGAAGAAAAAGACCCACCACCCCCAAAAAAAGGTAATTAGCGATATTAAAATCGCTCCCCGTGGACTTATCTTCCATTGCAAAAAGAGGATGAGTACACCAATCAATAGAGAATTTAATTCTCTACAAGATGATCAATCTCATATAGAGAGATTCGATTTTCAACTGGGGTCAAAATCTGAAGAAAAGATCCGACACCGCCAAAAAGGAAATCAGTGATATTAAAATCGCTCGCTGTGAACTCATCTTCCATTGCAAAAGACAATGGGTATACCAATCGATAGAGAATTTAATTCTCTACAAATTGATGTATCTCACATAGAGACATTCGATTTTCAATTAGGGTCAAATTGCGAAAAATGATGGGAAACCCTCCATAAGGGTAATTAGCGGCATTGAAATCGCCCGCTGTGGACTCATCTTTCATTCCACAAAGAAGGTGAGTAGACCAGTCGATAGTTAATATAATTTTCAGCACCATGATTTCCATCACATGGAGAGACTCAATAGCAAGTTCTAGTCCCATACCAAAAACAAGAGCGCGGTCCCATGTGTCATAGTAAGTTCGGATAATGAACTCTCTCTTTGTAAACACATTTTCCGTTCGAGAGAGAGACTCTCTATGCTAATTGATACAGAATTTCATTTTGTAGAACATGGTGTATCATATAGACAAAACCGATTCCGACTCGGAGTGCCCTGTGAAAAAGAACATTCCCCTTGGACAAGCGATACTGAATTCCGCTATCGAAGTGTCTCCTTGGGAACATGCGTTCCATTGGAAACAGCGAAAGAATATCTCAATTGATAGAGAATGTAATTCTCTATAGAATTATATATCAATCATCTTTTTTCGATGGACTTTGACTCGCGAGTAGCCCATCACAATATCGCAAATCATTGCACTCCAATTGGGGTCGGATCTATCTCTCCCCCCGGACCCCCCATTGAGCAATCCATTCTCCCTAGGATGCAAATAGCATCTTGTCAAAAAATTCAATTCTCTGTTGCATGGTACATTCATCCTTTTTTTACAATGGATATTAACTGGACAGGAGCCCATCTCAATATCGGAAACCATTGAATCAGAGTAGAGGTCTGCTCTCTTTCTTTTTTGTGACCCCCGTTCGAAATCAATTCTCTCTATGATGAATATACCTGCTGGTAGAGAATTAAATTCTCTATCGAATGGTAAATTTATTCTCTTCTTGCAATGGATATTAGCTCGACAACAGCTCATCTCAATATCGGAAACCACTACGTCAGAGGTAGGGACCGGGTCTTTTTTCCTTTCTAATCCCCCGTTAGAAATCGATTCTCTGTATTACGAATATACCCTCTTGTAGAGAATCAAATTCTCTATCGAATGGTGTATTCATTCTCTTTTTACAATGGATGGTAACTCTACCAGAGCCCATCTCAATATCCAAACCATTGCGTAAGAGGTGGGGGGTGCGTCTTCTTTTCATTTCTGACCCCCCGCTAGAAATCGATTCCTTCTATGACGAATATACTATCTTGTAGAGAATTAAATACTCTATCGAATGGTATATCCACCCTCTTTTTGCAATGGATATTAGCTCGACAACAGCTCATCTCAATATCGGAAATCACTCCGTCAGAGGTAGGGACCGGATCTTTTTCTTTCTGACCCCCTGTTAAAAATCGATTCTCTCTATGATGAATACACGATCTCGTACAGAATTAAATTCTCTATCGAATGGTATATTCATCCTCCTTTTGCAATGGATATTAACGCGAATAGAGCCCATCTCAATATCCAAACCAATGCGTTAGAGGTGGGCGCTGGGTCTTTTTTTCCTTTCTGACCCCCCGTTAAAAATCGATTCCTTCTATGACGAATATACCATCTTGTAGAGAATTAAATTCTCTATCGAGTGGTATATTCATCCTCTTTTTGCAATGCATATTCACTCGACCAGAGCCCATCTCAATACCGCGAATCATTGCATGAAAGTGGGGGTCGTGACCTTTTTTCCTTTCTAACCCCCCGTTAGAAATCGATTCTCTGTATGATGAATATACTATCTTGTAGAGAATTTGATTCTCTACAAGATGATATGTAGTGCATGTCGGGACAATGGACTGTCTGGTGCATAAATTGATTTTTTTTCAAAATTGTGTGCTTTTTTGTTCGTCGTGCTAGCTTCGCACTCATTTCTGTTGCTAAGGCCGCCATGGCCAAATTATTGGCCACTAGCGTGATGTTTTTTGTTTTTGAATTTTTTGATTGGTGATTCATTCGAGCAATCGACTTTTATCTCTCGTCGTGGTAATTTGTCTTGTTGTGCTAGCGTCACATCGATAACGGAGACCATAGCGGCATCGTGTACGACAGCAAAGGACGAGAATATGGTGTAGTTACGGACGTTTACGATGACAATACGGTCCATTACGATGCCGTATTAACTCGTTTTAACACGGGCAGTCATACGGCCGCTAACGATATTTTGCGATTGTTGTAAACAGACTGTATTTCCTGTCGTTTTTGATAGTAAATATACAGTTTCTTTAAACATTTCTTTTGCTTCCAGATCAAAAGTTCTCTCCACAAAATCCTTTACGATTAGTATAAACTCATAAAAAAAATCTTTTAAACAAGACTATATTCACTTTTCGTTTACATTGTTGTAAAAAATTAAATAAAAATTAAATTTTTATTTAATAAATTTTCTACTTGATTTTCCACGACCTTTTTCATAAAAAAAAACAAAATAAAAATGAATTTCTGTTAATTAAGCTTTTTTTTGCTAAATACATGTGTCTTTTCAATCAAGGTTGTTAACATAACGTGCAAAGAATTTGTGTTCTATGTATTCAATTAACATCTATCGTTCTGTTTATGTTTATATCATCCTAGAAGATGTTTCACATGAGCAAATCTATTAAATTAGTTCTGAGATTAAATCTTACTCCAAATACATCTTATACTTTACTTCGTTTATATGTGATTGCAACAGAATCGATTATTTAGATTCAGGAGACAAGACGAAGAAAATATTAAAGTAAATAAAAGATGAAAGAGACGAAGCGATGTGATTCTCCTGTGATGGACAGTTTCTCTGCAAGCGAAAATAAGAGATAGATAAGAACAAGCAAAGCAAAAGAGAGGACATCCTTAGCAATATGTTACCTCTCTCTATGTGCTACTTATGCTATCGGGTGACTTATAAGCGAATTGGGTATATATCTCATGTTCTGACCACCATGACAAGTCGATCTAATGATGTAGTTCTAAAGTTGACAGAGCACCAATAAACGATTGTCACTCTTCTGACAACTAGTATTAAGAGATGAGTGTTTTTTCTATGAAACATAAATTATATTCTAGGCTGTTGTCTATACGACTAATTAAATTAAATTAGGATGAATAAATTTATAAACATTTAACTTTTATGTCTTCATATTTCGAACGATTAATATTGAGTGGACTATTTTGTTTTTTCTTTCCATATTGGATACTTTTTTATTTCTTTTTTTTTATAATCTACAGCATTACTTAACTACTTTATTCTCAGCCAGTGAATCCTACTTGATATAACTGTACTCGATATTGGGATGTCCCAAAAAACGGTTGGATCTCACCTGTATTTTGTCGCATTGTTTTCTACCAGATTTTGATTCGAAAAATATCGGAAACAAGCTCAATCCAATCCTTTCAAACCAACTTATTGGATCCTATTTAGTTCACCCAAATATGGTGTTGGAGACCAATCAGACAACGCCGAATTTTATCACTTTCTGACAGTCGGATTCTGAAGCGAATTATATGAAGAAAAGTTCGATGATATCATTTGAAACATTACTTATACTCAGTAAAGTCCAAATTGCAGTATCCATTCCAAATTATGTGAATGTTTGTCAACACTTCGCAGAGTAGCACATTGAATGGGCTCAGAAAGTTGGAATATGTCTAATTCGATTTATAATATAAATGTACTTTCAGAAGTTTTTCATCATCTCTAAAATAGATGATAAAACAAAATATAAATGTATCATTTATATCATTTGTAATAAAAGTGTAAAATGACGACTTCAGTGTAGAGTCAGGTAAATAATAAATCTTTTTTCTATTTCTCAACTTGAGATAGTAAGACTGAGAGCCAAACACATACAGAAACGTGTCTTTCACGGA